TGCTCAGTTTAATAAAATGTGAACTCGAGTTTAGGGAAAATAACATTTGTTTAATGATTGTTTTAAACTAGGTGACAGTTAAGACTTCCTTTTCACAGATACTTGGACAGGTAAGAGAGACTCCTTGTTGATTATTTATTGCTTTGTGAACAGATACTGTAAGGCAAGAGTTGCAACCTTTTTCTGTAAAGGGCCAGATAATAAATATTTCAGCAGACTATGTATATGGTCTTTTGCTGTTCCTGCCACTACTGCTTCTTTCTTCTTTTTTTTCTTCTTTTTCCCACTTCAATAAAATCTGAAAACCATTCTCAGGACACAGGCTGTAGTTGTCCACCCTTGGCTTTAAGGTGCTGCTTTCATGTTGGATACTTTCTAGAAATGAGAGATGATTCCTGATTGTCAAGCAAATTAATATTTTTGGCTAAATGGATGTCATATTAAGATTTTATATTCCTCATATGCTACTAAAATTTATAGTCCAATAAAATCTGTAGTCTCTGTCATGTAAATGAATATTTTCAAGGAACTCAATTTGTAAAAGGTAAAAGTAAATTATATTAAAAATATGTTGAAATAGTTTAAGTTCACTTGGGGAGTATCTATGATTCATAGGCAAATAATGTTACAAAAATAATTTTCATAGTCCTACTATGTTATGTTGTTATTCAACATCATTATAATTTGTAGAATTGTACAATCTGGACATAAATAGATGATATTGACTAATCAGAGAAATAATTTTAAAATTCACTAAAAATTCTGTTGCCTTTTATTACATTCACTTTTATTTTTTTTGGTCTGTTATGTTTTGTAATCTAGACATAACAGGATTTTTAAGTCATTTAATTCTATAATTATGATGAAACTCACAAATTAAAATTAAATAAAAAATTTTATATGCATTATCTCATTTAATCCTCACAACAACCTGGTGAGAAATAGATTGTTATTATCATTAAATTTGTGAACATTAGAAAATTCTAAGTTAATTTGTAAAAATTTTGTGCTACATTAGAAAGAGAAGATTAAATGTTAGTATAAGTTGGAAAATACCATCATGGATAGTTTAATAAATACTCTAAAATGTTAAGGGATCAATTATTAAGAAAACTTATTTCTTGGAATAAAGGTGAAGAATTCATGCTATGGTATTTTTAGTTTGTCCAAAAGACATTTGGCCATACATGGTGTTACGGCTGTGGATATAACATGCTCTCTCATCCGTATCATCCCTGGGCTCATAATTCAGATTAGTGACAAGAAAAGGCAAGTTAGCTTGATACTCTACAGTCAGGTTTAATTATATGTAACCAGAAAAAAACAGACTAATACTGTTGGACATGGAATTTTTTTTCTAAAAAAATGAGGATGTGTGAGTGTTAAAAGATCATAGGTGATCCTTTTTTTTAAATGTTAAAGAATTTGTGGCAACTGAGTTAAGTCCTCAAATTATTGGAAAGATAATAAGATGCTCTCCCTTTGTATTTATTTAAAAATTTAGGTTGAGAACAGTAAGAGAATGAATTAAGTTTTATGTATCTTATCTGTCTTTTAAAAATGGTATGTATTTTCAATGTCACCAATTCAGTCAAAGAAGACTGGGAAGAGTAATAAAGAGAAACCACTTGAGAGAATCTTTATCCTTTGATTAGATAATTTTTCATAAAATTAATATTTTTTCAGAGAAAGAAAAGAGAAAAATATGTTTACATATTCTTTAGTCTGTCTATTTTTATGAAAAAGAGGACAAAAAATAAACTGAAAGTTACTTTCTCAAGAGAATTATTTAAACTCTAATAAATCATGTCTGTATAGGAATGTAGTCCAGTATTGCTCAATCTTTAGATTTTAAGAGAAACTGGAAGTCTGGATTTTTAGATAAAATATTTTAGTTTTTAAAGTTGACATCTAATTTAAAATGTAAAGAAATATTAATGCCAAATACTAAACCAAATGAAGCATGTCTGCCTTTTGAATATGACCCATGGAGGCCAGATTATAATTGACTTTTGTATCTATGGCCAGTATAATACTTAATACTCATAACAATGACAATATTAAAGAGAAATTCTATGTTCAGCATGCTCTGTGTAGGACCTCTTACAAGATTTCTGAAGACAGTGAAGGGTATTAAAGGTTAATAATAACAGTAAATATTTTCTGATCACCTGCTTGTGCCAGTTACTGCTCTAAATGCTTTACAAAAATGGACACACTTAAGCCTTAAGCTTCCTGTGAGATAAGTGCTGTTTGTCTCCATTTTAGTGATAAAGGCCTAGGGAGGAGGGGTAAAGTAACTTGTCCAAGGGCAAAGAGCTAGTGAGAGGCATAGCCTGAACCCTGGGTCTGAGCCTGTTACGCTACTTAACTCTTCTGATACTCTATGCTGTGTATTTCCTAGCATGTCATTAGCAAGCAGTACCATTCAGTAATAGGTAGAAAATAACCTTTTCTCTTTTACTCAACTCTTCTCTCCCTCCACTCAAAGCTACAAAATATAAATCATGAGTATGAGCTTTAAGTTTTTTGAGTCTTTCACCTCAGTTCTAATCTGGAAATCCAGAGGAGCTTCATGGAGACCATAAACTTGTTGAAATCTTACATAACATTTTGTGTAAGCATGTGTTTTCATAGCTTTCATCAGATTGACAGAGGAGTCTGTACGTTTTCTAAAACATTCTGTGGATCAGAGAACATACTTTAAAGTAATTTCCTTTTTAAACCTCAACATTAAAACAAGAACTTAACACTATGTTTTTGTTGTATGTATGTTTTTTACAGAGATTGGATCACCTCATAGAATGACTTGAGGTGCTAATACATAATGGTCATAAACGTAGGGTCTGAGTTAAGTCCCATTTTACAAGATTTCCAAAGACAGTGAAGGACATAAAAGCCTAATAACAGCAGCTGATATTCGATAGCTTATCACATTCGAGTTTAATATTCTAAATGCTTTACACCAATGAACATGTTTAATCCTTAAAACCATCTAAAAGGTAAGCACTATTATTGTCCCTGTTTTACTCATGAGAACAAAGAGAGGTAACAAGTAACTAACTTGCTTGTCTATTATGTTTTTAATTGTGCAAGTTACTTGGGCTCCCTGTGCCTGAATTTCTCTGTAAAATAGGGATAAGAACTTCATGAAAGGATATTTGGGAGGAGAACGTGAGGTAATGCATATAAGATGTTTAGTGTCATACCTGGAACATACCAAATGCTCAAAAATGCACCTTGTAAAAGAATTTGTAGCATATGCTACACAATTATATATTGTCTATAATATGCCTTTGATGAAAAATTCAGATAACATGATTCTAATAGGCCATATATTCTTAGCATTTATTTTACTTAGAATTTTGATACCCATTACTGGAGATGTCTTTGTGGCTAGTCAGGAAATGTATGAAGTGAAGAACAACATTTTTATTTCATGTGAAAGTACATTTATTTCATTAAAATGAATATTCAGAAGTTGCCCGTTGATGTGCCTGTTTTCTAGGTAGTCAGGTTTCATGGTGGAGCGCTTCCTGCTTACGTTATATCTAGTATCCTTCTTGCTTATGGAGGACAGCTGTACTCTCTTTTCTCAGCAGGTAAGAATGTTCCTGTTCCTCCCTCCCTCCCTCCCTTCCTTCCTCAGTGCTTCATTACTACTTCTTTATCCTACATCTGGCTGATAAAGACACATCAATTTCTTGAAAATTCCCGACCCTTCTCTCTCAAGTTTACAGGGATTTGAGATCCTCAAAGTTTTAAGAAATTCCCAAGAAAATTCCTTACTTGTTTTCTCCATTTTATACCCTTGTGTCTAAAGTTCCTTCCCTCTGTGCTGAGGCTCTCTTAAGGGGTAGAAGCTTGTTGGGGATCTTGTTCTCCACACCATTCTACTCCCAGTGCCTAACATAGGCCAAGCACAGAGTAGGCGTTCAGTGTAATATTTGGGCTCTATCAGCTGTATCATTTAGTTTATCAAGAGTTTACACGGAGGGACTGTTTCAAAGGTATGTGTAGGGTTAAGGGAAACCAGGAAGAAACGATGAAGTACCAGATTAGCAGCAGAGCCATCTAGTCCTCCTAGGTGATAGGGTAAGGGAGGGAGCAAACCTAAAGAGCTGTAGGAGAGGCAGCAGTACTGCAGCTGAGCCTTGGGTCCAGGAGTGCTACAGCCACTGCCAGCCTGTGGCTCAGCAGGGAGAAGGCAGGGAGATAAACACACTAACTTGATTTCCTCCTGTCCTCTATCTGCCATTGCCTCTCACTTACTGAACCCAACCAGAAGCCAGTCCATAAGTCAGCCTCCCAGAATTCAGAGCAAAGTAAAGGGTAGAGAATGGATCTGGAGAAGAAAATGGAGACTATGTTGTACATTGGACAAAGCCCTCTCTAGAGTGTAGCAATTAGAACAGCGAGCCTCACATGCTTGCTGGGCTTGGCAAGAGGAGACAACAGATAGGAAAAGAGAGTGGGCCAAAGCAGGTAAAAGCAGTCCAGAAATCCCCTCTACCATTCCCATCTTGTCAAATCCTTCCACAGTTCCTCATTTCCTTTCAATGACTTTCTGCAGTTTAAGTCTGCCTTTAGTGTTCATTTTAACCTGATTTAACCTATATTCCAGGAAGAAGGAAGCAACATTCAGTGTGATCTGCTCAGATCCAATCTTTTAAAAGATTATTCTGACAATATGACATCAACTATACTTGAATATAATTTTTTTCCAAGTTTGAAAGATGCCTCATTCTTCTTAGTTTCAAGTGACAATAATTGATTTTCAGACATTTAGAATTTATGTCTAGATAGTCCACAGAAACCACAGGGATGTATGATATTGGTTAATCTAGAGGATTTAAGTATGGGATTATGTCTCAAATTTATTAAAGAATTGGTTCTGTGCTACTCAGCCATAAAAAATGACAACATAACGCCATTTGTAACAACATGGATGTTCCTGGGGAATGTAATTCTAAGTAAAGTAAGCCAGAAAGAGAAAGAAAAATATCGTATGTGGAATCTAAAAAAAAAAGAACAAAAATGTAAAAAGAAACAGACTCATAGACATAGAATACAAACTTGTGGTTGCCAAGGGAGGGGGGTGGGAAGGGACAGACTGGGAGCTCAAGATTTGTAGATATTGGCAGGCATATGCAGAATAATAAACAAGATTATACTGTATAGCACAGGGAAATATATACAAGATCTTGTGATAGCTCACAGCAAAAAAAATATGACAATGAACATATGTATGTTCATGTATAACTGAAAAATTGTGCTTTACACTGGAATTTGACATAACATTGTAAAATGACTGTAACTCAATTTAAAAAGTTAAAAAAAATTGGTTCTGAACCAAAGGTGCTTATCAGAAGTCACTTGTAGATCATGCTCACTAGAATGGCTATAATAAATAAAGATAGATGATAACAAGTGTTAATGAGGACGTGGGGAAATTGGAACCTTTGTCAGCTGGTAATAGGAATGTAAAATGGCATAGCTCCTTTGAAAGCAGTCTGGGTGTAGACCCAAGAGAAATGAAAACATACATCCACACTAAACTTATACATTGATGTTCAGAGGAGCACTATTCATAATAGCCAGAAGTAGAAAAGACCAAAATGTCCATTAACTGATGAATGAATAAATGTGCTGATACATGCTACAACAGATGCATCTTGGAAGTATGCCAAGTAATAAGAGCCAGTCACAAAGGACCACATATTATACAATTCCTTTTTTATGAAATGTTCAGAGCAAGTCTACAGAGACAGAAAGTAGATTAATGGTTGATTAGGAATGGGGAGGCATTGGAGGTGACAATTAAGAGGAACAGTTTCTTTTGTGAGTAATGAAAATGTTTTAAGACTGAATTGTGGTGGTTAATGCACACTTTGTGAATATATTAAAAACCAGCAAATTCCATACACTTTAAGTGGGTGAATTTTTAGATAGGAGAATTATATCTCAGTAAAACTGTTTTTTACAGAATAACCCATGGAGCTTTGTAAAAGTACAGATGATGAAACTTCAGCCTTAGCTTCCTGAATTTGTTTCACAAATGGTTGAATGTGTACTCTTGTATGAGAACCACTGAATTAGAATAATTTTTAATCTTTTGAGAAGAGTCTCTGTGATATAATGAAGATCCTTGCTTTCTGTCTGACATGAAATATGTTGCTCTTACAAACAATGCAGGATATAACATGTCTTGTACTTAATTACTGTGAATTCTGTATTACATGTAATGTTTTTAAATCACTAGGTCATTGCTTAGAATATGCTACTATGTTGGATAAAGAAGCCAAACCATACAAAGTTGATCCTTTTGTAATTATGATTAAGTTTCTGTTGGGGTAAGTTTTATTATCTATGATAATGATTTTAATTTTGTTTTATATATAAAATAGTATTTTTGGTTTCAATATGGAATATAAATTTTCAGATGAATATGGCAATAAACTTGTTTTACTAAATGAAATTGTTCTCTTAGGCAAAAGCCTGATAGGAATATCAGCATTTACTTCAGTAGTTTAACCATGTTAAAAGTAACTACTGAACTTACTTATCAGTCTAAACTTATGCTGTCATTATACCAGTTAAATACCTTTAACATTTGCAAAGGAATGTATGTGGTCCATGATCTTTGGGTATCCCGGATTTATGGACACAAAACGTTATAGGATATAGATGAAACAGTGCCTCAGAACACTTTTTCTTACTTTCCATACAAAGTATATTTTAGATCTCTCTACCCTACTTAACATTGCATTCTTAATTTATTGTTTTTGGGTGGTTTTTTTGTTTTGGTTTGGTTTTTGGTTTTTGGGGGGGTTTTTTGGTTAAGAGATTATTTAGATGTCTTTCCCTCTGTCTACAACTAGCTATTGGCTTTCTAACTTAAAAAAAGGCACTTATTACTTCATTACAAGGGTCAATAGAGAGTGGTAAAGCTTCATTGAGACTTAGGACTCAGATCCTTGAAGATCAGCAGACTCACTTGTTCCCTACAAGGAACTGAAGTTTCTTTTTTTAGTATAATTATAAATTAAATATCATGGGACTTTAGGGGCTCTAATGATTGAATGGTCAAACACCTCAAATAATAAATCCTTGAATGACAATTGCTGGGTTTTTTTGCTTTTATTGTATTGTTTGCTTTTTTTTATGTTTTCTTTTATCCACAGATATAAATGGTTTAAAGAATTATGGGATGTGCTATTGTTACCAGAATTAGATGCCATCGTTTTAACTAGTCAGAGTATGTGTTTCCCCCTTGTGTCCTTGATTCTCTTTCTGTTTGGAACATGTACTGCCTACTGGGGTGGCCTTCTCTCTTCTACATCTGTGAGACTCCTTTCTTCATTGTGGCTAGCTTTGAAAAGGTAAAGGATGAATGACTAAAAGCTTTCTTATTGCTCTTAAGTAAGAAAAAAATGTAATCTGATAGGGAACCTTAAAATTTAATTTGCTTTCACTGTAATTAAACTATAATTTCTAAGGGAAAATGTGTGCCTAGCAAAACATGGTATTAGTGCTCAAAGTTATGTTTCTGTCATAGATGATCATTTATTTCAAGTTAAATGCTACATTTGATTTTGACCTTAGTGCTCAAGAGTTAATCCAAAAGGTCTGACAGATTACACAAGTGTTTTTAAATTTCACTCTTGTAACTCTTTCCAAGGGTACAGTGTTTCTCTGGCAATGCTTTTATATGCTGATTTTCAATCAGACCCGAGGGCAAGAGACTCCAGTCAAGGATCAGATTAGATGAAATATGTAAGAGCTCAAAAAAAACATTGCCTAGAGTTTTATCATATGTGCAAAGACACAGTTTGAAGTTACTGGTAGGCTTTTCTGGTAAACCAGTGATCTAGTTCCCTTTACCTCTCCTTGCCACACACGTTACGTAACTTCCTGTCACAGAGGGGACTGTGGTGTGATGCTGCTTCCTCTACCCTTCTGAGGTGCTTCTGGCATTAACACCATCACATTGCTGAGTGGCCTCGAGACTTTAAGAAATAGAGAAACGGTTCCTTTCCTATCAAGATCAGGAATGTATGACATGGGGACCTATAATTACTGATTATCTTTAACAGTGTTGTTTCTTCCTTTGTACAATCACCCATAGTGTGTCTAAATGAGAGAGGAGCTATCCAGTGTATTATAAAATTTACAAGTATGTGTCTCCCCTCACCTGTATTTTAAAAAATCTTATTGTTTACCTTATAGTAATACTTGCATATTAATAAGAAAGACTGGCAGAGGACTGTAGTATTTTCTTCTTATATGTAACTATAAATAACTGTCAAATGCTTTTGAAAGCTTTACTTTTGTTATTCCAGGCCTTCTGAACTTCCTAAAGATATCAAGATAATATCACCAGACTTGCCCATTTTGACAGTTGTTCTAATCATAGTTAGTTGGACAACTTGTGGAGCATTTGCCATACTTCTTACTTATCTTTACTATGTGTGTAAGGTATGTCAAATCAATAATGGCAGATGGGCTGAGCTTTGTATCAGGCAGGCATAGGTATTAAAATTTTTTGTGATTGCTGCTGCAGTAACCTGTTATATAACAAGTTTAAGTGTAAAGGTGTTTTAACATCTTAACTATTTCAAATATATATAGTTACCTGAAGAACTGAAGTTATTAATCTGAGTTGGGTTTCTTAGTTAAAGGGAAGGGAGGAGATATAATCTGTTTCAGGTTGCTTCATGCTCTGGCAGGTAATGTTAACTTTTTAAAAAACGTTTTACTAGAACAGTTTTTATTCACATCTGCCTTTGAATATGGATAATAGACAAAACAAAAAGTTATGTCAGTGGGATCAAGCTGTCAGTCATGTTGAGATGATGTAGAATGCTGCAAATTTGCTGAAGAATCACAAGACAGAGATAAAAATAATTAAGCTGATAATTTCACTGAGGAAATGAAAAACACTTCCAAAGAAGGCTGACAGTTTTGTCAGAAGATCTAGGTTATACAGCTGCCATTCTCCACATTAATCTTATGTAGAGGCAGTTGATACCAGAAAAGATAATAATCTTTTCCTTTTTTTTTTTAAACTGTTTCGTTTTTTTTACCATTTGGTCTTTCTTTTTTTTAATTGAAATATAATTGATTTACAATGTTGTGTTAATTTCTAGTGTACAGCATAGTGATTCATTTATATTCCTTTTCATATTCTTTTTCGTTATAGGCCATTACAAGGTATTTAATAGAGTTTCCTGTGCTATACAGTAGGACCTTGTTTATATATTTTTTCCTTTTTTAACAAAGGTTTGTTTACACCTGCATTTAACACTAATACATACACATTATAGATTACTTCAGTTTTCAAAAGAAAAATAAGTCCATCAGATAAAAACTATTTAGATCTACTTTGATTTATAAATATAATTTGATTTATAAATACTATATTTTTAGTTTTTTTAAATGGGTATTTCAGACAATTGGTGCAATCAGCAAGACTTTCTCAAATACTTAAGAAAATCTGATAAATGTATAGACTTTCTCAGTTTCTTACAAACATTTTACCACCTTATATAACTGAGTTCAGATTTTCAAAGATTTAGAATATATAAAACATGTTAAACTCTTTATATTATGCTGAATATAATCAAATTTTTGACTCACATGACACTTTAAGTTGCATTAGCAAGGCACCATGCAAACATAGGTTTACACATTGTAGAAGGTATATAGCATTATATCCGGCCCTGGTGTACTCTGGAAGTATGCATTATTTTTGTTTCTATTTTGTAATCCATGATATCAAGCACATGTAGTTATTATATATCTTTTCTAAAAGGATGTGTTTAAATGAATGTTTATTTACCAAAAAATTTTTTTTTATTTTTTTTTTAAATTGCAAATTACAGTGCTTCTCAATTTCAATAAAAATGATTATTCTTTTGTTCCAAAATAAAAGTAAAATTAAGGTCATTTCTTTTTCATAGGTTGTTCACTTGCAAGCCAGCCTAACAATTTTTAAAAATAGCCAGACTGTGGTAAGTTTTATTTTCAAAACTGTACATCACTGTAGTATGAAAGAACATGGGGAAAATATAAAAGTTTGGGCATTTTTTTAAATAAAAGGTTAGGATTTTATAGTGTTTAAAAGGTATTGTGAATTTAAATAACTTTAAGAAAAGTGAACCCAATGAATATTAAAATACATTAAGTTTAACTTGATCTTTGTCAGTACTTATTTTTGTTATTACAAATTAGCTTTTAAATTTTGTTTAAAAGTGATTAGAGTATATATTCTCAGCAGTGGAAATAGCAAATCAAAGGAATAAAAGTTTTATAACTGATAATGGCTTTAAAATACTTTTAAACAAGATAATTTCAGTATTTTACATCAATTTGGTAATGGAAAAATGTATTTACTTAGCTGTTAGGTGTAACTGAGTATGATTCTAAAAAAAAAAAATCTTTAATTTTGCTTACTATCTTGCTGTTTTTACTTTATTGCTTTATAGAATCCCAAACACTCTAGAAGAAGTGAAAAAAAGTCCAATCACCATAAAGACTCCACAGCACATCCTCTTCGTTTATCTGCCAGTGATGCTGAAGACAGTCTTCGCATGCACAGCACTGTGATTAACTTACTGACATGGACTGTGTTACTCAGCATGCCATCTTTAATTTACTGGTTAAAGAACCTTAGGTGTGTTTTATTTATATAATCATACCTTATTTAGTTCAAACAATAACTGTAACTAGAGACTTCCTAGATTCCTAATCATTCATAAACCTTTCTCAAGAACAAGGAGCTGTCACCTGAAATTTATTTTCAGCATCTTCATATTTCTTCTTTTCTATGAGAATATAGACTCTCTCAAAACCTGCCCCCAAAATAAGGAATTGTATTTTATTCAATTTACCTTTCACCATCTTTGAGTCTAGAAATAATGTGAAAATGTGCTTTATTTTGCTGACTTAAGGTATTCACAATGATAGTGCTTTATGCATTTTTCAATTCATGATCAGTTTTATTTTTTCTTAAATTTGGGGGGAAGAAAAATGCTTACATTCAAAATATTAGAAAGAAGGAAGTGTGTCCTGTTCTAATGTGTCCTATACATTGAACTAAAATAAATAATCAGCTGTTTTACTACTGAAAACTCTCATTTGCTTTGCTACCTGGTAAATGTACTAGGTTAAATGAGAACCTAAAAATGTCCTCCAAGATTATTTCTAGAATATTTAGTTATTGGTTAATTGTTTTTTTTTTAAAAGCCACCTCATCTAGTTAATAGTTAACCCCTGCTCAATATAGTTTTTAGAAATGATGTAAAACTTTCTGATTATCTAAATATTGAAATTTTTTTTGAACAGTTGACAAAAATCAAAACAAGTTCAATAAATTAAATCACAGGTTACCAGAGGTTAATATCCTTCCTTTGTCCCTTATTTTAATCACGGTCCAGATTTTTGTTCACAGATTTGGGGAGAAAATTACTTGAGGAGCACAAATTTATGATTCTGAAAGGCTGTAGCTATCTCACTGTTAATGCAAGAATTAAGAATTTGGATTTTAAAAAGATAAGGGACAGTTACTTTGTGTAAACCTTCATCTTTTTCGTCTTTTTAAAATAGACCAGCCTAAATATATTTTAAGTAATTTGTTTTATAAATATATTATTAGACAATTACTTTGTGTAAACCTTCATCTTTTTCGTCTTTTTAAAATAGACCAGCCTAAATATATTTTAAGTAATTTGTTTTATAAATATATTATTTATAAATGACTCTTTTAGGTGTATACCTATTATAAAAAGAAAGTGCTTTCATATTGGATATTTTTATTTCCTTTAGCTCCTGAACATAATTCTCCATATAAAACCTAGAGAATAAAGGTGATGTAGAGCAAAATTTATTTATCAAGGATTTCTTGAGCTGTTGAGAGCTCTCTTATATCCATATTGCTACTGGAATGTTTGGAATTTATTTGATTTAACTGATAATTTTAAATGATTGGGTATGCTTTGTTGATTTGTGTGTTATTTTTTTCTTTCTTTTTGACATAGGTATTACTTTAAACTTAGTCCTGATCCATGCAAACCTTTGGCATTTATCCTTATTCCAACTATGGCACTTCTTGGAAATACTTACACTGTTTCAATAAAATCAAGGTATAATATTTTGAACTTTTTCTCACGTCTATTCCTAGTTTTTATCATTCTTTTATACCTGAAACATGCTCTTTGTTCCTAATTACTTGGACTGTTCCTAAAGGTAAAGCCATAATAGTAATTATAGTTCATATGCAAATATAGTTTATGTGTACATATATTTGTTTTCTTAATTATGAGTTTTATTTGTTAGGATTTAATATTTTTTTAAGTTAACCCTTTAAAGATATGATATCTAAAGGTTGTTTCCCAAAACTACAGAAGTGGAAGTGGGTAGTAATATAGGTGAAGTAAGACTGGCCATGACTTGACAATTTTTGAAGCTGGGTAATGGGTACATATGAGGTTTATTACACTATTAATGTACTTATGTTTTTAATTTTTCATAATAAAACTTTACTTTTCATTGACTGGTTATTTGCTCTGGGAGCTTTTTTCAGTTGATTCTGGCAGATAGTTGCAGATACTCTAAAATCAGGCAGACATGGGGTTTAAATCTAGGGCTCTGTATCCTTAGGTAAGTTTCTTAACCCCTTAGTTTCTCTATTTAAAAAGATGATAGTCTTTTCTGATAGTATTTGTCTTTTAAAAATGTTTAGTGTCTTGTCTTATGCTCCTGTTAGGAATTAAGGATGGTTCCTTATTTGCTTGAGGTTTTTTGCTGTTATTAATTATGGTGAAAATAAATATTTCTATAGCTGCGTCATAGTAAACATTATTGATTTTGTCATTGTTGTTGTTAGGATAAATCTCTAGAGGTAGAATTGCTGAGTAATAGTCCAACTAGTATTTTTCTGTTGTTAAAATTTAAAAGACTGAATAAAACTGGTTATTTACTTAATAGAAATATTTTTCTCTTTTGTGGCCAAAATTGTATTGATCTTTGTAAAATTACAGACAATTAAACTCATTATATGAAAAATTACTTTATCTAAAATCACTTAGAACACTTTCTCAAAACTATAAAAGATTGACATATTCAGTTTTTGCTCACAGTGTAGATCACATTATAATGTATTTCTCTGTCTCTTTACAGTAAATTGTTGAAGACTACTTCACAGTTTCCACTTCCTCTGGCTGTTGGTGTGATTGCTTTTGGGTCGGCACACTTATACAGGGTTCCATGCTTTGTCTTCATTCCACTTTTACTCCATGCATTATGCAACTTTATGTAAGATTGGATTTAAGGAATGATAAAGATGATTTTTGTCTTTAGGGCCAGTAATAAGTGGGAACGTACAGATCATCAATGTAGACAGCAAGATCCTTTGGAGAAGACAAGTCTATTTTTACAATATTGAAAATAGGAAATTAGTTTTGTAATGCTTGAGGAAAGTAGTTGATGCATGGTTTTGTTTTGTGATGTGACATCTGTGTACTAGTCATTTTTGAAAAATTAGTAAAAAAGATAAGGTGGCCACTGTCTTTGAGGACTCCTCTGTGTATTAGCTAGTCTGCTTGACTGGCCATGCCAGGGGTTTTCTAAATACTCAGTAAATGTAACATTTGTATTCTCACCTCAAGCATTCTGCTCATTTCATCAAACTCTCTTCTGAAAAGTGGGTTAGTTTGTATTTGCTACAGTATACACATTGGGAAAAAAAAAGTCTTAAAAGGTTAATGAAATTTACAACTGTTTGGTTTCTCAAAAATGAAATAGCTACAGTCTATAGTTACTTTTTGACAGCTGCAGTGAACAAAGTAGACATTTTGTTTTCTTACATCTATGAAAATAGAACTTTCAATTCTAAGGAGACATGTTTTCTTGGTAACCAAGCAAGATTGATGAATAGAAACATAATTCAAACTCAAAACTTAGTGAAATTTTCTTGTTACTTCTCAAATAAGAATCTTACTTTGTATACTTAGTGAGTATCAGGAGACTATTGAAAAGATCAATTGCTAAATGTAAAGAAAATTCTCATAGATATTACTTACTGGCATTGGAGCAGTTCGGTTGTTCAGTCTCTATACCATTTTCTTTAATTCATTGACCCCATGGTTGCCAAAAGTGCCTCGGGTCATGAGGGATTGTTAAAATAATTAAATTCCAGTGGTCAGAAAAAACTCTAGATACGCAGTTTTATCCACTGTGGAAGAAATCAGTATGATCAAATGCAGTGCCACGTTCAATGTATAATATTATACTATTAATGGAAGAACGATGGACAGACTGTTACCGCATTAATAGCATAAGTATAAACAATATACCTAAACAGATTGGAGGGTTTAGCCACTAGGTTTAACAGTAGAATCTTAATTTGCCAAAGTGATTACTGTTTGATAAGAGAGTAATATTTCTATTTTAGTTCAGATTTCAGCTCACTTTTAGCTATAAAGGAGGAGGTAGGTAATGGAGCAAGGTATCTTCGCTTTAAGGTGGAATAAACTCAGGCTGGGGGGTACCTAGGTGACAGAGCCCTTCCTTTACATGTGTGTGCTGTGAATACCCCGAACCTCTGAAGAACAGTCCTTAAATCCCAGTAACTCCACAGTTGCACCTGGAACTTGTGTCCCTGTTAGTACCCGGGGTGTCCTGGAGTACCAGGTTCATTTACCTGCTGTTGCATCTGGCTTCCATTACAGCCTCTCAGCTGTTACTGCCTACTAGAGGGTCACCCCTGCTTTACTACCTGTAGCAGGTTACCTCACTTCTTTTCTCAGTTGTTCCTCAGGTCCTTGCTGTTTTGGCATCAGTTGAAGAGGGTCTTGCTGTCATCTCTGTGGGTTGTAAGTTTGATTCCATTGTTGTCGTTCCCAATTCGTGTTCAGTATTGGTATTTTCACTTACTGAGGTCATTAAAGGAAAGTGGTAGCCTCATAATAGACATGGCAAGCATACTAAGCTCTTGTTTGTTTGAGGGAAGTGGCAAAAGGCATAAAATACAGAATGCCTGTGTGTTCAATATCTAAATGGAAAGAGAATTTATTGGATTATATACTTTCCCATGACGTACCACATATATAGTTAAGTAAGGACGCATCTGCCTAGGTTTAGCTGTACGGACACTCATAAACAACTTTTGTGTATAGGTGTCCTATTTTTTTCACCCCTGTTATAGTTGTATTTCAAGTTACAGGTTAAATGTGTCATTTATTTCTGAAATTGAATTTAGGTCCATACACTGAAAGAACTTAAGAAAATTCATTAATTTGAATCTTCTGTTGACAGCCATAATCATTACGTGTATTTGACCTAAGTCTCCTTGTTTAGTCATTGCTGAATAAAATGTAACAAGCTTAAATTTCTCATTTGTGAGTAGTACGTTAGCTTTTTAAAGCAGCAGACTAGGCACCCTAATTTTCACAAAAATATTTTCATGTGAGTGTAGTTATCATGAAGTTCCAAAGTCTTATTTATTTCAACAAAATGTTCATTTTAGGACTACAAAAAGTGTTCTAATTAAACATACTATAAACAACAGTGTTTAGGGGTTTTGTATATATAAAATACAGACACATATTTTGACAGGGTCTTCATCAAGTCCTACTGCACTTTAAACTCAACTACAGAGATGAGAAAGTAGCCTCTGTCTGAAGATTAGCAAAACTGATGTTTCTGTCGCTTGGGAAAAGGAAAATACTTTGTCTTTAAATTACACATTATTTCTACCATGCTTGCAACCTATATTATTAGCTGGCAAAACAGCACAGGTTTATTCGCAATGTTACTAAAAATAAATTTGTTTATAGGCAGTTAAGGGTTATCTAATTTAACAAACTTCTGAGCTCTACTGTTATAACATTGTTATTTAGAATTTTTTGAGTTTAGAGTAAGTTTTGTACTTATAAAAAATTACTCCTGGACTCTATTACTAGATAAATATGGACTGGACAGGGACAAACCCTGAGTACTTTCAGTGTTTCTAAAGACTCCTCTGGAGTTATTGCTGTTATAATTTGAAACAGATAATATGATAAAAATCATTAATGCTCTTTTTTTCAGCATCTTTTTCATGCCAAAAATTACAAAGGTTCTGGTAGCTCTTTTCTTGGTTGTCACCAGAATGGAAATATTTTAAACAGTAGTCCTAAAAAAAAAAATCTGTGCCTGATTAACATTCATTTTAAGTCTCTTCAATATGTATTGATCATGTATTGCTTAATCTTCAATTTTTTTCATATTTTGATCAGGTAAATTCAAATGTCTGTGATGGAGTATGTTTTCTTGTTTGAATTACTATACTATCTACATGATTATACAATTAGGAAGAAGAAACAACTAGTAGGTCTAGTAAATGTTTGTTGTGATTATCCTATCACTCATGCAGATGGTACACATCTCCCCTAAACACACATTCTTACGTGAGGTTATCTTTATCATTATCTTTTTCTTAACTCTTTAGTCTTTTCACTTACAGCATAGTGTATTCTTTTCACCTCACTACTCATTAGCCCCTCTTACAGAAGGTAGTCAAGGGAAATAAACTTAATTAAAGATAAAACTCAATTTTCAGTTTAGTTCTTGAAAGCTCTGGGAAAAATGGGGAAAACACAAAGATAATGAGAGAAACTAGGGTTGTTGATCCCCGAATTCCCAGACATTTCAGTTGGCCTCTATTTTCACCTTAAGCATTAGGTCTGAATTAATGTAATTATCTTGCTTTATTATGAGATTTAGTGCAGAACATTACATTGTTGCATTTGCAATTTTAGTAACTATTAAACTCAGTTGGGAAAAATAAAAAAATGTTTTGAGACTATGACTAAGGCATTTGTTGATTATTTTTTATCATCACTTTTTGTTTTCTCTGTAGTTTAGTTTTGTGAACTTATATACCATAGGAAACAACATACCTTGGGAAGTTTTGGGGGAAAAGTCAATTTGGAGAGCATGGCACTCTCCAGGATAAAGGAAGCAATAAAATTATCTTTGTATTATGAAATTAAACTCAGATAGAAAACTTCTTGCCACATAAGGTAAATGTAGAAGATACTTTTACGAAATAGTAAGATGATTGAAAGCTAAAATTTTATCCCAGTGTTTTTGTATAATGGACATTTCAAGTTCTGTACTGAACTCTTACTTATATATGTTACTTACGCGTTCTTTCACAATGTATTTTAACAGCCTGTGGAAATAGAAAGATTGTAAGGCTACTCGCCTTCTTTACTTTTAATAAGGATGATAGGAAAGAAAAGTCAGGTCAGTAGTCCAAATCAAAATATGTGTACTGTAAATGCTCAAGAAATAACATTTTTTTGATAAATTATATCATCAATACATGATGACTGAATTATATATATTAATAACTTAGTTTTAAGAATGGAATAAAATTTGGGAATTATGAGAATAGACTGCTAATTTCATTTATAGTAGAAATATAACAGTACACCTGAACTGGCAATACCACTTTCAAAAGTTAGATTATATTCTAAGCTCCATCTTGATTACGTTGCTATAGTTGAAAAATTTTAAATCAAGTACAGTACTTTCTAAAAGTGTTCGGCATGTTATACTGTCAAAAATGTGTTTTGAATACCAAGTAACCAGTTGATTTCTGATGACTTTGTATAGGACTTGATACATGTGAGTCAGATTTTGTCTGCGCTCATTCTGTACATTGTAACTTTGAACACTTAGGAAAAACTGCATCTGTTGATATATTTTGATTAGTGTAAATTTGTTTGCATATTTGAATTCTAATCTTACTTTAGGAGGTCTAAAAGTAGCCATTTTTGTAAAGTTCATATGCTTTTATTTTTAGTGTTATTTTGGTTTTTAGTATTTATACAGTAGAAATGTTACTAGTAAAAGATTTATAGACAAAGCATAGAACTATTAACTGTTCGAAAGCCTAAGTGATAGGCATATTTTGTATTTCATGCTGCACTTGTTTTGTCTCATACTGGACTTTTTACATCCCTTTTTCAGGAAAAAAGACACGTTTGAATTTTTTAGCGTAAAACTCTACATTGGAAAATAGAACTGTATTTATATGGTTAGCAAAACACACTTTGCCACCAAAGCTAAATGAAACTGTAAAATACCTCCAGATATTTGTGCCAATGAACTTTTCTTACCATATTGGGATTAAAACAAAAATAGTTTTTTCAGTATTTTTCATCTAAGACATATTAAATACGTAAATCATCAAAACTTATATTCCATACCCTAATTTTTCTTTGAAAATATATAAGGCTTATAGTATATTCTGTTTTGGCTAATTTCTGGAATAATGTTTTCTGGCTTTATTGGGTGAAATTTAGTTTACCCAATAATGACCTTTCAGTAATTAGTTGAAGAAATCACTTAAGTAATCTTGCTTCCAATTGATTCTGTAAAACTTTAAATTCTGTTGCCCAGATCATTTTTAGTACAAGTGTCTCTCATTTATGTAATACAGAGTTTACTGTGGAATTTTTTTGTTTTCAGTGCATTTCCGTTCAGTCCCTTTATACAATCATGTTTCACAGGGGAGAATTATCCCCTAGAACCTAGCATAGTACAATGAGGTAAACATAACAAAGTAAACATTGTAAAATGCATCTTAAAGGAAAATATAAAAACAATCAGAACGTAAGTGCTATAGTGTTAACATTGATATGGTAGTGCACTCATGAAAGAAAAGCAGAAATACAATAGACTCAGAACCTCTGGTGTTTATCTGGTTGAAATTCTTTCATTTCTCCTATAGAAATCTTCACAGGGAATTTCAGTCCCTCATGTTAAAGTTTTCCCTATCATTTAATGTCACTTAACTTTTTCTGCCCAGTAATGTTGATGCAATTTGCATAAGTAGCCTTGGAAGTAAAGAGGCAGCAGAGAAAGCCAAATATTAAAATGCTTGACCTTGATTTAGTTACAGTTTATCCAATTATCTGGTGGGGGTGGGGGTGATATTGCTAAAAAGATGATATACAAGACCTACATATCAGCGAACATCATTTTTGGAATGAATTGTTTGTTTTGAATAAGTTTATCCTAAGTAGGAGATGCCTGTGTTTAACATAACCAAGCTTTTACATAATCAAATACGTATTTGTTGAAATATTGGTAGAAATAGTCTACCACTATAGAGGGGGAAAATACCCAGTATTTTAGTGTATATAAATTAGGAAGTTGTAGTGTATATTTACATTTTTTAAAATATAAAAGTGACTTCAATATATTATTTTGAAGTGATTGTATTACCATTTCTTAAACTTACGACTGACTGTAAATGTAGCAACATACCCGTGAGAAACCAGACCAAAATTGAATGCATATTATCACTGTGACCTTGAATTTATAGTCATTTGGGATAAAACAGACTGTGCCTTAAAATAATGAAGGGGTGCCCTGCAATTTTATAACTGCATACTTATTATGGGTGGTCTTCTCAAGCCCCAAATCAGCCCCAAATCCTTTTCTTTGAGGTTGGTGAAATAAAAGTTAGTCAGTATTTCTCTTAATGTTTGCTGAACTATTGCTCTAGAGGTCTCCCTTAATTTCCAGAGTTCCCATTTTGAATTAAAATTGACTTACACTTCATAGATGTAGAAAATGAAAGTTTAGCTAACATTTTGGAAAATAAATTTATTTTATGAGAAGGTGGTGGCACTTCTGAACTTGTTACACATGGAAAAGTTAATCTTAAAAAATAATTTTTTTGTCTTTTAATGAATAGTGAACTCTTCCCTAAGAGCTATACTTATTTTCCCCTAGATTATTGAGGCTTGTATTTGTATATCAAATAAAGTTAGTTTAGTCAATAATGATTTTTCAGTAATTACATAGAAACTCAGATTCATGTTGTATATGTTTAAACATTATTTTCCCTTTTACTTTTCCCTTCCTATTTTTAAGGTATCAAGAGAGAACTGGCTCCAGTTTTGTTTTGTTTTAATGTAAAGACTTGCATATTTACTCTGCTTATTTAAAATGATGGATATAATTTCTATTAAAACAGATTATTCCATTCCTAGGACATTCATGGTCTTTGTTAAAAGATGCCCACATCTCTGTGTACTCAGAATTTTTTGTGAATTTTTCAATTTCAGTTTTTAACATAAACTCAACACATTTCTTTCTTCTCATTTCACCTCCACTATCTCCCATCAAAGACAAAAATACAGGTTTCTCTAAAAGTGTGTAGAAAGAAAACATGTCTTTCCTTAAAACATGGTCAAATTGAGATGGAAATAGTTTGGGCAAGGGTATGTAATAAAATAAAATTCATGGCTGTCAACCTGCATCAGTTTCTATATTATAGTTAAAAGTTTATAGAGGACAAACTATGTGTTATGCTGAGATAGACTCAGTAATCATTTATTTGCAAATTGATAATTTTGTTCTCATCCAAAAAAATGCAGTGCATAGTAACAATACTTAACAGTGCAAAGGAACTTGTCCTATAATATATACTGAAAAATGATTGTCACCTTGCAGATTTTTCGATTTAAACATGCATGATCTTCTCCAGTACTTTGTATAGTGTGTGATGTACTAAATACATTTATGTGTAATTTTGTGCACATTTTTTGTATGGTATAATTAACATTATTACATTTAACTGGTTGTAATTCACAAAAAGTGCTATTTATTGTATTCTGTAGGGTGTTGTGATTGTTTTTAATCTGTGTTTCAACATGGTGTCGGGTTTAATAGATGAATATTTGCCTTCAGTCTCTGCTCAGGTATTAATGTGTAGCAATTTTTGGTGCTTTCTTTTTAATGTCATAATCTGGTGTTCTGAATGGTCAATAAATTTGGTGAACAAGAACATGTGATGCAAAATTGCTTACCAGTTCACGTACTCCACAGTACCATCTCAGGAAGAACCCTTAAAAATCATTTCTTTACAGCGTGTCTGGCATTTCAGAAGTTCAAGCATGGGGCATGATATATCACAGGTAAGTATTGGAAGCAAGACAAATTCTAGTATTTCCCAACTTGGTATTTTGTAGCTTCTCACATGCATTTTCATGGACATTTTATGGTTCACATTCTACTTTAAGGAATTGTATAGTTAATGTTTCTCCCAGAGACCAAACTTCCACTTTCTTTATGCTAACTTGATATATATTCTTGGATACCTCCATTTTCCAAATTACATGAGAATGATTTGCACATTTTTTGTAAACAGATTCCCTGATCATCCTAGAACTATTAAATTTGATCTTGTAGGGAGAAGACCTGGGATTCTGTTTTAACAAGTGCCTCAAAGAGTAATTCTCAAACATTGCTTTAGTGAATAAAATTTAGTTTGTTAGGGCTCTTAGAAGCAACTAGAACAATTGTCTTTAGAATTACAAGATGCCAAAAGAGACCACATAGTTTGATGATTCAGTATAGATCTCAACTTTATTATAACGGATGAGCGGAGGAAAAGGGGGTAGGGCATCTTTTGAGGGATGAGTGTTTTCTTACACATTGATTAGAATAATGTTTTCTAAATTATTTTAACCAGCATCCCTAAATAGATGAACATTTATAAGTTATCCGCATGTGTTAACATTGTATATATTATTATTAAATATACCCCAAAGAGAAAATTTTTAAAGATGAGAAATATGCAACTAGAAGCTTAAACCTTTTCCTTGGATACTTAGAGAAGCATCTTGAAATCAGTCCAGTATGGAGGCCCTGGAGTGAACAGCATGAAGTCCTCATAGGACTTTCCTGCTAGTTTTTCTTTTTTCAATTCCCACTTCATCAGTGTGTGTTTTTTATTTACTCACAATTCTGTAGGTCAGCGATCAGGTCCCTTTTCATACACCCCTTTGTATTCCCATGCTTAGCAATGCTTAGCAATGCATATTTTACATGGTAGAAATTTGTTAAATGTTTTTCAGGTGAGTAATTATAAAAATGATCCAAGATAATTCAAAATCCTGATTTAAGAACAAAAACAAATTATGTCAGTAACAAAATTGCCTTTGTGTTGATAATTGCTGAAGCTGAGTGATAAGTACATGGCCTCACATTATCTTGTTCTCTTTATTTTTGTATGTACTGGAGTTTTAGATAACAAAGACATTTTAATTATGGTCCAGGTATTATATTTACTAAGTATATTAATACATTTAGAAAACCTTTCAGAAATAATTGAAAAAAAGAAAAGCTTTTTTTTTTCAATTACTCTACCTAATTCCAAAGCATGACAAGGCAATTACAAAAACCATTACTGACCGACACTCCTTGTTAATATAAATGTGAAAATCCCTAACAAAATACTAGCAAATCAAATCCAGCAATACATAAAAGTCTACAGGAATGTACAAATCAACTACTAGGACTGGTCATTTAATACAGTAAGGTCACAATTTAAGGTTAATATAAAAATAATTTTTTATATACAAACATCAAATAATCATAAAATAATTTTGTAAAATGCCATTTATATTATCACAAATATAAGATACTTAGGAATAAGTAAAAATATGTACAAGACCTCTCCACCAAAAACTAAAAATACTGCTTAGAGAAAGGTTTAAAGTCCTAAGAATATTCATTGATTGGAAGACTCACTATTTTTAGGATGTCATTTCTCTCCAAAATAATATGTACATTAAATGCAATCTCAATAAAACCCCCAGCAGGCTATTTTTTTAAAAAAATCTACAAGCTGATTCTAAACTTTATACAGAAAGGCAAATAATTTCTTTGGAATAGTCACAACAGCTTTGGAAAAGAATCCTGCCAGTACTTGATTTCAAGACTTACTATAAAGCTACAGTAATCAAGACGGTGTGGTACTGACAAATGGATGGATAGGTGCAGCAATGAAAGAAAACAAAGCGTTCAGAAATAGACCCACGTGTTTATGGTCAACTGGTTTTTGACACGGGCCAAAATACTCCAATGGGGAAAGAAAAGTCTTTTCAACATACAGTTCTGGAATAAATGGATAGTCATATGGGGGAAAAAGTAAATAAACCTAGACCCTACCTCACATCATACACAAAACTAATGAGATGAACCTTAAATCTAAATGTAAAAGCTAAACTATAAAGCTTCTAGAAAAAAATATAGAAGAAAACTGAGATGTGATGGTAGGAAAAGGTGCATAGATAGAAATAAAGCAACAATTTTAAAATTGGTAAGTTATAGTTCATCACTATTGGAGACTTCTGTTCATCAAAAGACAACATTAAGAAAACAATAGAGGCAAACCAGAGACAGAGAAACATTTCTGACAAAGGATTTGTTTTCAGAATATATAAAATACTTCAACTCAATCATAGAACTTCAAATAGCTCAATTTTTAGAAGTGGAATTTGAAAAAAATGGAAGTCAGGAGGTAATTTTTTGGCAGAAATCAGAATGTCCCCACTGCCATTTGGGAGCACATTATTCCTGGAGGATTACGATGACATCATCTCTGCTACTGAGATTCCTTGAGAATTTTCCTAGGGCCAGACTTACAGAATGCATTTTTGAAGCGAGAAGGTAAGGGTTTGCTATCTATTCTATTTAAAATAATTGTATAATACTTTATGCATCTAGAGAACTAAAGAGCTCCCAGAATACTAGGAACTAACCATTGATTTTAGGAGTGCTATGTTTTATTTCCTTTTTGGGAGAGGGTTTGTTGATTTTTTTTTTTTTGGATAAAAGCTCACTGGCTCTATTCAGAGCTCACAATTGATGAATAGCACTAGGAAAGAGACTCATTTATCCATTATACCCAAAAATATCCAAAGAAATGCCCATCTGAATTGTATTCAATTTTTCCCTTTTCTGAAACTACTTCCTTTATTATACAAAATATATGCCTGGAAATTTAGGTATTATTTTAAGAATGGTGTTTCTTCCAGATATTTGAATACTTTTATCAGTGACTTAAAATATGTGGGCCATTACAAAATTATATGATTCTGAGATTGTGTCTTATCTAATAGTCTAAAATAGAAGCTTTTCTCATCCCTTTTGTATCAAAAAGACATTTTAAAGGATAATTTTACTCATGTAAAACCTCAGATTCATAATAGATGTTTCAACACAAGTCCATTTTATTTTGTGAATTGGATGACAGAAGAAGCTCTGCCTTTCTCAAAAGGGAATAAAGATTGTAGATCCAGCTTCTAGGTCTGCCTGTGGTACAAGTTACTCGGGAGAAGCTAAAGCAGTTGCGGTGAGTGTGGGTCCTTCTCTTTTGCGGTTGGCCTGACACCTTGACGTAATCTATTCCTTACCTCCTCCAGCATCTGGTGGCTGCCCACATTCCTTGACTTGTGGCCTCACCTCTAAAAGAATTTAAGTAGAAAGATGTGTGTGATCATAAAATTGACACACTCCCCCAGTCTCCACTGGTTTGTGTGTAACAGCTAGATTGAATGTTAACTTAAACTTTACTAGTCCATTGAATACTCAGGTCAAATCAACAAATATTTATCTGCTACCTACAATTATCTCTTCCCTCTTTATTAAAATAAGGCATTATGTAAATCTTAAATGGACAATATGGAATAGAAATGTAGCAAGGTTCAAATTTCAAAAGAACATGATAAGAATCTAAGCTCAAGTTTTACCTAAAGAATGATTAATTCCATAATTATTTGTGACATGCCAGCCTTTTCTCTGCCAGGCATTAAGCCAAGCTCTGAAGAGTCAATAATAAAAAAGACATGGTGCCAACTTTAAGGAGCTAACCTTAGAACAATGAGACATGGAAGCCAAAATAATCATCCAAATTCAACAAAGTAAAAGTAGTTGAAGTGACTAAATTTTTTTTTTTCCTCAGAAGACGTGACATTTGAGGCGAGCCTCAAAGGACAGGGAGAAGTTCTGAGAAGAGACAAGGGTTAGAGAAGTCATTCCAGGCAGAAGCAACAGCATGTTTAGTAGCACCAAGGGATAAGTGTGGATGGTGTTCACTGGAGAGGTCAAATGGCTGGAATGGTAGGATGGGTCATACTGAGGGGTCTTTACATCACGGTCAAGAACTTAAACTTTATCTTACGGGCATCCCAAAGTCACTAGAGCTGGATGTGATGCTAGGAAGCTTTTTCTGTGCCATGTGACCTTGTTTTTCTGTTGTCTCTACTCCAGGGTCAGTTGCAAAGCTAAACCCATTACCAGCCACTTCAGGTCCTCTTCTGCAGAAGCAGACTGCCTGCTGAAAGGCTGTTTGCAAAGTCCTAAGAAATAATTTAGCCTTCTAGATTTTAGGAAGCATTCTTTACACATTTATTGTGACTTTGAAGATACCCACATGGCCTGAGGTGATGGGGTGCTGGGACCTGGTTCTCAAATCCAGACTGAGAGAGTTTCGTTTATATTTCAGTCACCTTGAGAATCTAGATGTCCATTTTCTTGCTCTGGGTCTCCGACCTGGCTTCAGATCTAGCATGATTACCATCATTTTTACCTTTTGTTGCCTCTCCTCCTTCATCTTAGTTTTAGTAGTACTACCTTGAACTGAGGGTGGCTTTAAACATACATGCTGGCTGTCCCTCTCTGACTTGCCCAAATCACAGCATTTGTGTTTCAGGAAGGCTGGTGGCAGGGAGGAAGACCAACCAGAGAAGGGACCTTGGGAGAAAGGAAGACCCGACGAGGGCAGAGACTGGCTGGACTTAAGGGCAAACGCTCTTAGGAAAGGATGGCCACCCCAATGAGTCCTTGTTCTCCTTCCTTTATGGGCCCAGGCTTCTAGAATTGGCTCACATCCTGTCCCTAAGAGGTAAAAACAGCTATAACATGTCTTTGGAGGAAGAACTTTTTTCCTCTTCAAAACACCTCTTTAAATTTTTTATTAAACAAAGCCAAGGATAGCAAAGACTAGAATGGATTTCTCCATAGTGAATGGCTAGAGGATTCTGAGGATCAGCCCTCTGCAATCAGAGGCCCTCACACCACACCAATACTGCCGAAGGGAACAAATGCTCAGCCATGTTGTAGAGGTGTTTGAGAATGTCACTTATTTTTTTTAAAAAAAACCAACTTGTCTGACTCTAAGCCTTTTCTGAATGGGGTTGGGGAGCAGAAATCCAGTTTCAGTGGGTTCTGAGCCTTTCCTCGCCTCCTCAGGGTCTCCCAGAATCTGGAAGCTTTGTGTGGTCCCCAGATAGGAGGGGTCCGCCTCTGCCATCCATCGCAGTCACGGTGGGTCCTCTTTGCTTCTGTTCTGTGCTTGGCAAGGGGCTTATCCTTCTTCTCCCATCTTCTCCTTAACCTATTTTCGAACTGAAATAGGCCCACTGCCACGAAAAGCAGTACAAGTGCTGTGAGCAGAAGGCTGCATGGTATACTAGGTTAATCATGTGAGTAACCTTACCGCTGTCATTGAAGTTCTCATCATCACTGAGGAAGCATTCTATCAACAGTAATTTTCCCTTTCCTTAACTCAGACCAGGGGGAAGAAAGAGGACATTAAATTATCATCCCTGTTCATGATACAGGGCTACATCAGTGCTTTTTCTCCTTAATAAAGACAGGCAGGATTTAAATAGGTTAGATACTCCAAAAGTCCAATAGTTTTCAATTTTCTCTGTGCCTCCCACAATATCCTCTTCATTTAGTGTCCTCTCCTCAACTTTACCATTATTTTCTAAATTTATACTCTAATTAAGTTTGTGATTCAGTCAACCTGTGTTTATTGTTTCCTTTATGCGGTAGTCCTTTGCTGAGTACTCTGTTTTCCTCTCAATTTCTGGTTACCAGCAAAGTCCTTCATTCATATGTCTCTAGGTGCAGAAGGCCGAATATCCCAACTGCTGCTTATATATTTAATGAAGAGGCCAAATGGGATAATTTAGACTAGAAATTAATGGTTGGTGAAACTAAACTAAACTATCCTGTTTTTTTTCTCTCTCTTTTGATTGAACTTAACCAAATAACTGCAAAATATCTCCTTAGTGCTGTGTTGATACATTCCAAAGAAAATGTCATCAGCTTTATCAATAATATTCTACTTTTTAAAACAGAGATTTGAAATTGAGAAATAATTAAAGGAATTAAAAATAATAGTTTTATTTAAACATATAATTTCTTTTAACAATCAGGAAAACTCCAGTCTTGGTGAACAAGGTGGTAATATGTTTATGTTGCTTTTAGTCCATTGCTCCTTTCTGAAACTAAATTATTTCTTAAATGGGGAACTATTGAAAGGAGAAATAAGTGAATTGTGTTTTTATATGAATGGAACTAAAGTTAGAAATTATTCATAGATAAATAGATACGCAAAACTATTCTACTTTATTCATGCTTTCTCATTTAAAAAGTTCATTGTCTATGTGTTGGGCTCACCTGCTGGTATTGGGGGAAGGTAAGGGTGAGCATTGTTCAAGGAGTTCACAATGTTCATAATCTTATTAACCCTTTAATACTTCAATACCATTAGGTGCTTTAACTTCAAAATCCTGGAGTTTTAACAACAGCTGAAGTAATGAAATTCCAGGGTACTCATTTACTCACTCGACCACTGACATTTAAACAGATTCAAATCTTGCATTAAAACCTATGACAACCATAACTTCCCTTGGCTCCGTGTCCCCCTCCAGTTACTGCCTTCTCTCTTTCTCTTTTCATGGCTAAATTTCTCCACACCTTGGTAAACTCATTCTCTCCTTCCTCTCCATCACTTCTAATCTGAGTTTCACCTCCATCTACCAAAACATCTCTAATGTTCCATGGACGCTTTTCAGTACTCATTTTACCCAATTTACCCCTTCTCCCATACTCTCCAGGTTTCCTCCTACCTCCAGGGTCTCCTTCATGTAGATTCCTGTATAAGTCTGGTTCCTATTAAAATTTCTTGAAGCTCAAGTCCTCGGCCACCCTTTCTACTCATTTCCCTAATCTTCACTGAGGTAGTCTCATCCTTAATATGCCAACAATCCCCATAGTTCCATTTCCTTCCAGGACTTCCACTCTGAGCTTCAGGCCCATGTATCCAGTTGTGTACTCTCCATCCCCACTGGGAGATCTGCAGGGCTCCTCAAACTCAACACATCCCAAATGGAACTCATGGTCCTCACCTCTTCATGCCAGTATTTGGTATGTGAGCAAACGGCATTGTAGTCCACTCAGCTGCATAATCCTGAGACCTAGGGATTGGTCTTGTAGCTCTCTTCCCCTTAGCTCTGCCTCCCAGAGTATCCAACACATAACCCATACCTTCTAAATCTCTCTTAAATACCCCCACAGCTCTGCATCTGTGATGCTGCCCTAATCTAAGTTAAGGTCTTGTCTTGCTTGGACTATTGCACTAGCCACCTAACTGGTCTCCCACATTCTTCTTTTCTAGCTCAATCTGTCCTCCTCACTGCAACCAGAATAGCTTTTTAAAATTGTAAGTCTGATCAAGCCACTGGATTCTTAGAGCTTTTCAATCACTTACCATTGTTTGCAGCAGAAAGATCGTAATCTGACTACCTCTTAAGGCCCATATTGCATCAGCCCTTCACCTTGTTTCCTCTAGTCCTCAAATACTAACTGAATTTCAGTTGCTTTTAATGTGCCATGTTCATTTCAGTCAGAAGGTCTGGCATAGTTGTTCACCTTGCTTGAAACTCTTCTCCATCTGTCCTCCCTAGCTTGCCTCGGTAACTCCTACTCATCTATTAAATGTAAGGTCACTTCTTCACAGAGCCTTCTGTGATCCCTGGGACTGCATCAAATCCACCTGCTCTACACTCTCATAGCACCATAATCTCTATAGAAATTATCATCATTTATATATTTTATTGTATGATGGTTCTGTCTTGCCCATTAATCTGTTTTAAAAAAATATTTTGTCCAACTATTTTATTTTATTTTACCTTTTTCTGTTTGTTTTTTTCTGGGGGAGGGAGGGGGTAATTATGTTTTATTTATTTATTTATTTAATGGAGGTACTGGGGATTGAACCCAGGACCTCGTGCATGCTAGACATGCACTCTACCACTGAGCTTATACCCTCCCTCCCACCACTAACCTGTTAATTCAAAAGGGCAGGGACTCTATTCTTACCATTTTACCATTCTTACCCCAAAGCATTGTGCAGTGCCTGGCACATAGTAGGCACTCAATAAAAGTTTGGTGAGTGACTGAACAAAGGCATGAATAAATGAAGGTCATAGTGAGTTACCCAAGGTCAAAATGGCAAAACTGAGATCATAACCAGGTATTCTAATTTCTAGTCCAGATTACTAGCCTCCACAACGAAAAGCTTGTCCTGGATTGTTCTGAATTACTGGACCCAAAGCAACTTCACAACTCATCATGCCCAATTTCTCAACCCCACCATCTGCAGATCAGATTTATTCAGCAAGTGGATGCAGCAGGTATAGTAATTTTTCTTTTCTTCCACAAAACTCACTCTATCTTTGTGCTCTGTTTTGAAGGGGTATTATGATAAACCATGAGACTATTTAAAACTCATAAAGCTTCTTGAGATTTTCAGAAGAAGTATAAAGTACAGGTCACAAAGAGCAATTTTGTCTCTTGCAATAGAATTTTCTGTTTAAAAAGCACTGTTAATTTGAGAGGCTGATAGCTCCAAAAGGGCATTCTATTAGGTGGGATAATCATCATTGTATTCCCAGCTGCTGTGTATATTCCTTCTCTTACAAGTGGAAAAGGAGAAAGCCACTTTGCTGTGTGGAAGTGCCTTGTGTGTTTTATAAAATCCAAATAACTGCTCACTGGTTGGAGGAGAGTCTGCTGTATTGAGAACAAATAGATTCACTGTTAGCCCTGAAGAAGCTTGAAGATGTGATTCTCAAGGGTCTTTGTGCCATGGATGAAAATGGAATCATTATTTTTGAACTCCCCCTGCTCACGTCAATGACTCCCACCAGCAGCCGATCCACTGGTTATAAGTAGCCATGAATTGCCTTGCAGATTGTAGGCAGGGTAACCAACCAGGGCCAGCCAAAGCCAACCTTCTGGTAAGCTTTGTTAGCTCTTTCTGTGTGTTTCATTTCCATTTCACACCTCGGGATGGGAGGCAATCTCGACTTACACTGCTGTAGTGTTCATCTGTCTCAGACCTGTTTGTAAGATGCATTTCTCAGTCTAGGATATACTTTCTTTTCTTTTCTTTTCTTCTTTTCTTTTCTTTTCTTTTCTTTTCTTCTTTTCTTTTCTTTCTTTCTTTTCCTTTTTCTTTTTCTTTTTTTTTGAGACTGCTGTCTTGACACTAAAAGTAATTTAAGGTTGGTTGCTTTTTGTTGTCATTGTTAAGAATTGCACTTTCTTTGGAGATAACAAAGTATATTTTTTTCAGATGAAAAGTCATGCTCAGACTTTCTAGGTTGTATTCATATTTGCTTTGTTTATCATTGTATAACATTCTCCTTATCATGAACTCCTTTATTACTAATCAACTGGCTGGTGCGGGGGTCTCATCAGCAAATAAATCTGGAAAAAAGAGGGCTGGAAAAAATAAATCTAGAGAAATTCAAGTGAACCAATATACTATTTTCTTCTTCATGTCTCCCTTTAAAAATATTTCCTCTTTCTCTTTTCTACTTTTGTCCTCCCTTCCCTCTCTCTCCTTCAATCTTTCTCTCTTTCTGGTCATCAACACTTCCCTGATCCTTCCTTTTACTCAGTTTCATTTCACCATGCTCAGAGCATTCCTGCTGCTGTGTGTTGCCTTGGTGTTCCTTGGGCTTGTGCATGGAGCTATTTTGAGAAACAAAGAAAAATGGAAGCCACTCAACAATCCTAGGAACCGGGATCTGGTAAGAACAGCCACTGAGACATGCTGGGCTGCAAGGTGAACTTGGCACTCCCCTGGATTTATACACATTGCACTCTGTTAGAGCATAGTGGAGAGGGGGTGACCAAGGGCTGAGAAGATTCCCCAACAGGACCAGAGAAGAATTTTGCTAGCCTAGTGGCTAGCATTCTATTGCTTCTCTGGTCAATTTACATTTGTTTCTGTAAGGAGAAACAAATTTATATTTAGAAATGATCTTATATGCACATAGCACCTTACACTTGTAAATGATCTTTTATATACATTAACTTTATAGCTTTGATTTCTAATACATATAAACAAAATCAAGAGCATAATAAGGAATAGCATTTTGCACAGCTTAGGTTGAACTGATAACAAAACAGTTTCTCACATAATCAGTACTTGCAAAGCTCAATTGCAAAAACTGAAAAGTTGACCCACATTCTTGTCAATTTGCTAGGCATTATTTTCATCATAAAGTTGTCTAGGAAATAGAATTCAAAAGATCAGTAAAAAAATTCTCTTTTAAAAATATAAATACACTAAACATACTGACATGATTTCAAAATATAGTTTTTCTAAAGAAAATGATGTGAAATGTAACAATATGGGATTAAAACAGTCAAAATACACTTTGCACAGCTTCTGTGTATTCATTTCCTAAAGGACAACTGGAAACTCCATGTCTAAAATGACTGGGATCTATTTCACCATTCGTCAGAGAGATTCATCCTCTGTGATGAATGGTTGCTGTTTTAAAACCATATCTTTGGCACTCAGAGATGGGCAGTGCATCTTCTGACTGGGGTGCTATTAAAGAATTGATATTCCTTTCTTGATTTCCACCAAAACCAGTGAATTATCTTGTGTAGGACTGAAATGTCAGACAGAAGGCCCAGTGGAGGACAGTGGAGGGAGGAGGGGAAACAGAACTATAGCTTGTATATCTATTTCTGGGTTTTCCACCTCCTGCCTCCTAGATTAGCCCTAAAGTCAATTAAGGGAGGGAAATGAGAGGGGGAAAATATTCATCTTTACATATTTTCGGTGTATAGTTTATATATGTCATTGAACATTTTCTTTCTCTCTTCAGTTTTTCAGAACCCTTCAAGCATATTTTAAGGGAAGAGATCTTGATCTTGGGAGATTTTCAAATACTTTTTCCGTGAGTGAGAATCCCAGACCTCTCTCTTTCCAGTCAGAGCTTATTGCTTCTGCATTTGCAGATTTTGAACAGAAAAACTCCTTCCCAATTAACAAAGGCTGAGTGTGTCTTCTGAGTGCAGGTATAACTCATCCCCTTACTCCCAGGATCTATCTAAACATACAACTCAGCCATAAAGTCATAAAGAGATTTTGAGAGTATTTATTTGAAAAATGATTTTATTTCCTCATATAAATAAGTGCTCAATTCTGATGATGCTCATCATTGTTAACATTCTAATTTGGTTCAGATATTTCAGTCTGGTTTTAAAAAGAAATGACAGTTATGATTTTTTAAGCATAACTTTCTGGGGAGAGATATATTAAAATAGGAGAATTATCATTCTTAATAGAATTATGAAACATAATAAAAATACCACACACTTTTACATACATCTTTTTCCAGACCAGATCATAGAGATAAGTTATGTGGAAAATCACATATAAAGAAATATATTGAATTGCACAGTTTGATTAAATGGAAAGTAGAAGTTAAAAGAATGATTCTTTGGGGAAGAAAGTATTAAGCATATAGTTGAGCTTGAACTTCCTCACCTAGAGAGAAAAAAAAAAGGTAGACTAATAAAAATGACATTTTTCTCGTAGGAAAATTATTAGAAATTTATTTGTGTGTAAGGCTTGAATTTTAAAATTCTTACTACTTTAGCATTCCTATCAAATAAATACCTACCATTTAAAAAGGAACAGGCATGGTGCAGTCCAAGAAAATATATTATGATTCTAGTCAATTAGTTTTTTGTTTGACTGAGTAATGAAGGAAACCGGATCATAATTAAAATCTACCCCCATTCTGTCCTGAGCATATAGGTGAAATTGTGAGGAAGCAAACCACTGTTGTATTTCATTATTATTGTGAAAGGATTTTGATTATTACTTCTTTTAAATG